CTCCCTCCCTCCCGTCCTCCAGGCAAACTCTTCCGCGGAGGACCTCTCAAGCTCCTCTTTGTTTTCCTCATGCCTGCCTTCTACTCACTCCGTCCCCTCTTCGTCCGCCCAAAGAAGCCCAGCAACTGGGAATTGGTGAACGTGCTTGCGCAGCTGACCTTCGATGCCCTGATTTTTTATATCCTGGGCTGGAAGTCACTTTTCTATCTTGTTGTCGGCACTCTTCTAGGTAACAATCATTTCGATCCTTTCCTCGTCCCGTTTCAAACTGATTTAGTTTTCCTTCCTCCCTCATGTTCCCGTCCTGACTTGCGTTCACTGTTCCCGGTTCCCGACGACACCGACATGGCTGTCGCTTTTCTCCGCGCTTGACCCGCATGTCATGCCCCATCTTTTTCGCACCCGCTTCAGGCATGGGGGTGCACCCCATGGCGGGGCATTTCATCGCCGAACACTTCGTTTACCAAGCCGGGCAGGAGACGTACTCGTACTATGGCCCTTTGAACTGGCTCTCCTTGAACGTGGGCTATCACAACGAACACCACGATTTCCCCAATATCCCCGGTACGCCCCTGAGGCATTTCCCTTGTGTTTCCCTTGTTTTATCTTCCCTCCCTGCCTTCTTTCTCTCTTTCTGTCTTACCTATCTCACTCACGATCCTATGTCCCTCTTGTTTCTAGTAGCCAGCCAAGGCATCGGTCCTTCCCCTTCTCCCCCCTCCCTCCACTGATCCGTCCCTCATTTCCTCCGAAATTGCACAGGCACCCGTCTCCACCAAGTCCGTCGTCTGGCTCCTGAGTTCTACATGCCGCTACCGCACTACTACTCATGGAGCAAGGTCATATGGGATTTTGTCACAGACCCCGCTGTGACCCCTTTCAAGTGAGTCCGAGGGGCGGGAGGAAGGGAGGAGGGACGGCAGGACTTTGGGGGGGATGGAGCATGCCTGTGGAGGCACTGCTGGTTCGGACGTTCGATGTCCATATGAATCATAATCAAGTATAGTGACTGCTGAGACGGCAACAAAGTGACGGGAACTGAGAAATGTCACTCTTTTTTCCACACGTCACAGCCGTGTGAAACGGAACAATCTTTCAGAGGCTGACAGAATGGCATTGGCAGCTCGGGATTAAGCTGGTGCAACGCAAATTTTGAATTAAAGGGTAGATACAATGCAAGGAGAAATGACACGCACACTAGATCCGACCTACTTCTATATTGCCTTTCGGTATTGGAAAAGTGGCACTTATATGCCGGTTATAAAGCAACATGAACCATATAGAGAAAGGCTGTGCGAATGAATTGTTTGGGTTACCAACACCTAAAGTCTGCTCTCCTGTTTCTCTGGTCGCTTTCTGTGGCTAACAAGCCCTCACTAGATTGTGTCCCTCTTCTGATGTATTTTCATCATCCCATCTGTTAAGTCGCGAGTCACGCCGAAGGCTTCTTCGTCGCATGAGACGTTTTCCTAATAAGTACCACCTTCTATTTCACACGATGAACATGTGGACATCTATATCCACCACTTCGTTCGCCGAAGGCTGACGGTCTCTGAGAGTGTTAACAAAATCTAGCACCAGACTGATGAAGTAGAATAATGGGTAGAGACATCAAAATGGGGGTTGAAAGAAAAGAGGAATTCGCTGTGAATTTGATAATGGTCGTGGTATGGCAGGCAATGGGAAAAAAATTATGTATAAAGATAGAATAAGGCACCATTTGATGCTCAAGTCGTTCCTTGTAGGTATCTATCCTATGTCTTTTGTAGATTTTCTTTTTGCACTCGTCTCTCCTTCCTCCAATCCTCACCTACGGTATGGAATCATTTCCATTTTCCACAACAAAATCAGGGCTCAAGCCTATCACTCACTTTCTAACTCTTGTTCGGACAATTTTCGGTTCCTCATTCCCCTACCGAGTCGAATCTATGCATCAGGAAATTTAGTTTTTTATACTTGACCGAATTCGCAGGTCGTTCGCACGAGATCAGAGATGATGTGCAGATAACTAAATTCAGGACAGAGTCGCTTTTGAGAGCTTCTGCTTCAGGAAATAATCTTTTTGATTGTCTGAAACATTGTTTGGTACAATATTGGTAAGCACCTTTTTGATGGAAAGCAAAGTATCTTGGCGATTCCTCTCACTGGCCGTTACTCGGTCTTACTTCGGAATTCCGGGCGAGGGTTCAGCGATTGGGATTCAGCTTTTCCGGTCGTCCCTGACTCGCGTACTTGCCGTGTTCCGTACCGGAGTCGGCAGAACATTCCGATGCAAACACCTCACCAGGCCTTGACCATTAAACAAGCACGGTTTCTTCAGGCCCAACACTTATCTTCGAAAAAAGTCAGAAATTTTGCGCTACATGCACGTAGAAATGCAGATGGAGCTTTTTTGTTCAATCATCCTTCCTTCTTTCTGTTGCAGAGGGCTGATAGAAGAGCTCGTATCTCCGGAGCAGTCACCACACATTGCACTTTCCAGACGCGGTTGCATTGATGTCTGGGCCGGAATCCTCCGCTGCTATTGAGCCTCTAAGGCAGCTTGGCATCATGCCTGCCTTGATTGCGGGATGGTCGGCCTTTCCTGCTTTTATGTTGTTATTGACCTCTCAGCTAAATCACCTTTATACTCAATTTGCACCGTTCCTGTTAAGCATCGAAATGGAGCCGCAAAATCTGTCATCATTTCTCATCATAACATTCCGAGTGCTACTACTGCTCTTTTGTTGCCGAAACATGATCGCCTTTTCCTGGGATGTTTTCGTTGATTCGGTGAGACAATATCCGACCATGAACCCCTTGTTATTTCGAAACAGCCAAAAAGCGGCACGTGCTCTGGGCTGTGGATCATTCCCGGCTCGCCTTATGGTATTGCTGCATCTGACTAGTGCTATTTCATTGATCTGCGCCTTGCGGCTTGCAAGACGCTTCAAGGTCATAAACACGGAGAATTTCAACGAACAGCGTATTTTTCTTCGATTTACCTTCAATCTTATTCTCAAAACACTATATTTCATAAATGTCTTCCCAAACTATCAACTAAATGTACTGAAAAGCTTTTTTTCGGTTTACGTTTCCTTCTCGGATGTATTGCTTGTTTCTTGGATACTCCGTTCTGACATCGGTTGCCTTACCAATAATCCCGGCATACAAAAGGCTTATCCCTGGGGTGAGGCGAATGAAGAATACCAGCGGCAAATACTGACCCTCAATTTTCTCCTTTTGGTGATTGTAAATGTGTTACCTTTTTGTCTTTTTTCGATTTTGATGTGCAGAAAAGGAGTTAAAGTGTTGGAAGAACCCCAAGACTGGACAGTTGTTATGAGAAGGTGCAGAAATGTTTCCATGGCCATTGTCGTTGCAGGTTGGGGTTTCTCTCTATGTATGACTGGTTTATTGCCTTCATTTTTCTCCCTTTGCCTACTCATCAATGGTATCTCTCTGAATCGGTTTCTATTATCTTCCGTCGTCGAAAGTATCCGATTCGGAGTCGCACTCTGGATTGACTTGAAAAGCAACATTGGGAGAGCACTTCGGTGGCTTGTCCAACCATATCGGGGACAGGCCTCGTTGATAGAGATGGTGACGTCGTTTATATTGCCGGTATGTGGAGTACTTTTTATATTTTTAATGGTTGAAGCTCCACGGAGAGCAACGATTTGGACCTGCCTTCGGCTAGCAATAGGAATACACTTCAATATCTTGTACAAATACCAAGTACAAGCGACGCGTTGGGGCCGACGCGGCAGTTTCTTCCAGCATGGCATCGACGTGGTTATTTTCCTCCCACTCGCTTCAATTTTAACGGTAGCAGTACTCAAGGCCTGGGGTCGCAGGTATGATTTCACTCGAGCTCTCAAGTTGCCGGGGCAGCAAAATCGTCCAGCTTCGTTCTTCCGCGTGGCAGGCGGTGCTCAATGTGTAAAAATTTCTTCCATCATGGGAACTTTGGAACTCTCACGCACAAATGTTCGTGATGAAGTTGAAGCATGTGCGGTCTCTGCATTCCGGGCTAGCCACCCGTCATACACTTTTTGCAACACCTCAATTGGGGGGGGCAAGCCTTCTCGACTACTCTCTGATATCGCTCTTGAGCTACCTGGACAAGGATAGCAGTGATTTTCATGCCTTGTTCGATCCAATGGCGGCAACAGACGATTGGGAATTAGAGCATGAGGATGCTTGGGGCCCGGCGACCCAAGATACAAGGCAAAATGACGATACAGCTATGGTGGCAGTGACAGGCATCCCACGGGCACGTGTCTTACAGCTTTTCTCTCCAAGTCGGAATTTGAGTGTCATTGCAGTAGCAGGAACCAATCCACTCCGACCTTATGACATTTTTCAGGACGTGTTATTGTTTCATCGGGCATTTACATTTGAACTTGCCTCTCAATTCAGCCCACCTTTGAAATGGATTCCACAGAAATGGAAGTCTTTTATCTTGTCCCTAAGCTCTCTACCTCTGCATCTGCTGGGCTCAACCAATCCGTATTGGTATTATCACCACACACTCATTGAAGAAGTTAAGGCCCAGCAACGGCGTAAAGGCATAGGAAGAGTAGTACTTACAGGCCATTCCCTTGGGGGAGCCATAGCTCAGATTGTGGCCGCCGGTGCTCACGTTCCTGTCGTGTCAATCTCTTCCCCGGGAGTTTCCTTGTTATTGAGCAGCCTTGGCATTGATCCTGAACCGCTTAAGTACTTAAGTGTCAACGTCGTACACGAAAATGATGTTTTACCTATGCTCGACAAGCTGATGGGTTCCGTCTTCATCCTGGGCTGTGGGTCCGCGAATCCGTTTCGGTGTCATCAGCCTGGCCAGACAATTTGCGAGCTCTTGAGCCATTGTAAAGGTTCGAGTGCTTTTATACAGTGCCGTCTATATCAGGCATGACTGAATGGTATAGGTACGAAGCTTCTGACGGAGCAAGGAGGGACCAATGATCACGAAAATTATCCTTTTGAAAGTGAACCGGTCTGCCAGAGGATAATCGAGGTAAGAGGGAGAGAGCATGTAAGAATGTAAAAGGGAACAAATAGACAATCGCTTCAGAAATTTTTACGATAAATCTTTGATTTGTACGAAGAGCAAGTAGGCAAGGGCGATGCCGATGACACGCCTGACCACTGTCGTTAACCTTAAAATATCACACCTTTCTTTGGGACGGTCATAAGCTTTTCGCCTCGCCTTTTTCAATTATGCGTCTTTAATCATTGCCTCTTTTCCATTTTGTCCGATCGGTCGGGGCAATGCACGGAAAGCCGTTTGGGAACCATTTCTTTTGACTACCGGTCCCTCTTTTCCAATTTACGTACCTACGGCGTTTCCATTACCGATCGAACAGATAAATATCATCCTCTCCGTCA